GTTTTTTTTTTTGGTCCTTTTGAGACAGGGTCTTGCCAAACAGTTCAGGCTGGCCTTGAGCTCACTTTGTAGCGGGTCTTGAACTCCCAACAATCCTCCTGCCTCTGTCTCCCGAGTGCTGGGATTAGACAACTTCTCTGAAATTTTCTGATAATTCACAGTCCTTCAGAGACATAAAAAAGAAGTTAATGGTTATGAGCATGGACCATAAGGTCATGTTCCCTGCACTGAAACTTGGCTCCAACTGTGGAGGACCACCTGGCCATTCTCCTTGAAAGAGGAGCAGTTGTCTCCATTTTGGCTGAGCCTGACCCTATTTCCATGTATTGACAAGTACAGAGCTAGCTGGGACTTTTCCTTATCCCTTCAATTGGCTTTACACTATGTGTATCGGTCTAGCCCCCATTGTTTCCATGTGTGAGCCGGGACAAGACAAGATGAAGAGCCAAGGCTCCACACTGTCGTCTGGAGGCTCTGACTTCCTGGGGCTTGAAAGATTACACATCAGAGCTGAAGCACCGACCCCAAAACATTAGATACTATCTCAACTGTGTTATGCAGACTACTCTTTCTGCACATCCTTCTCTCTGCATTTGCAGAGGTGATTTCAGGCCTCTACCTAGCCCAGCTCATGGTGTTCACCTACTTCCCGTGATTCTCACAGTCACTTATCTTATCCTCAAGCCACTCCTTTCTTCATGAATTAATAAAACCTGGGTTCAGTCCTGGGTGAAGGCCTTTGCTCTGGATGGCCATCATGGTGGCTGGACTTAGAGCCCCTTGGCTCCCCATAGCTATAAATATGCCTTAGTATCTTTATTCTCACCATGGGTTGCACTGGAAGTGGTAGATTGGAATTAACTTGCTAGAATTCCAATAACTTTTCAAGGGATTATAAATATAAACTTCCTGGGCCATGACAAGGACTGGGAAGGGCTCTCTATATCCAACTGTGTGGCTGTAGTTGGCTGTGTGACCTTGGAGAAAATGTTTGATTCTTAATAACTGATTTGCTCATCTCTAAAATGGGAATAATAGTGGTGCTATCATTGTTATCTAATGCCCCCCCATCAGGCACGGTGGTGCACTCCTATAACCCTAGCACTTGAGAAGCTGAGACAGGAGGAGTCCCACAAGTTTGAGGCCAGCTTTGGGGTACAAAGTGAGTTCAAGACCAGTCTGAACTATATAGTGAGATCCTGTCCCAAAAAATAAAATATCTCCCAAAAGTTTCATGTTTAGACATAAGGCCTTGTAGGGAATGGTGGGGCAGGGGACATGACATGGATGGGTGTATTTTCATCTGCGGCTCCTCCAATTCTTGGCCGCAGTGCAGTGGACCCCTTTCTTTCACATCCTGTTGTGCCATGCAGTTTTTGCCTTGGAGCCAGCTGACTGTGGAGCCAACCCACTGAAAGTGTGTGCCAGAAATAAACCTCTCCTCTAAGTGGTGGGTATGGGGATTTTGTCTTAGTGATAAGAAATTGTCTAATACAGAAAACAAGTACCAGAGAATTGAGATTGCTGCTGTAACTATTCCTGACCATGTGGTTCAAAAGCCTTTGAAACTTGTTCATGGGAAGAGTTTAGAAAAATTTGAAGAGGCCAGATGGAGAAGACTTAGAATGTTGCAAGCAGACATTGGTAAGTGATTCTGGTCAGAGCTCAGAAGACCAGAATGTTGATAAGAATGTGGACAGTAAAGACCAGGCTCAGGAATTTCATAAAAGAATAAGGATTCTCTTGGAAAATGGAGTAGAATCATGTGCATTTCATTTTGGCACAGAATTTGTCTGTGTTCTTCCCATATCCTAAGACTGTGAAGCTGAATTTCAGGGTGGTGGGCTAATTAATCTGAAAGAAGAAATATCAAGGCACTCCAACCTTTCAGTTGTGGCATGAGTACTGCTGATTGCTTTTAGCTACATTATAGTGAGAATGAGGAGCAAAATGTAGAACTGAATAATGTGAAGCCTGGCCAGAAACAAAGTGCCTGTAAAGTTGGAGCAAAGAGAATGTGGTTGTGAAAAAGTTAAGTACATTTAAAGTAAGTCGAGTACTTTGCATCTGGAAAGATGGCTTGAAGAGATCTCAGGAATTGGCCAGACCCCACTTGTCTCAGGAACAAGGGTGCAAAAGCACAAACTTTTATTTGAACAGAAAGCCCTTGGACACCCTGCTCACTCTGGGCTATCAAATGAACTGCTTCACCGAGTTCATCCATCCAGGTACTCACATAGCATTGCAGACACAGTCCCAGGAAGGGCCTTGCTACTGCTCAAGCTGGTAGTCAACTTATGGAGACAACTACGAAGTGGCTCTGAGCAAAGTATGTATTAACCAAATGGCTTTTCATTTTTACTTGTAAGTCCGCCCAAGGCCTAGGCACCTTGTCTGGAGATGGCTGGACTATAATGGTGGGTGAAGCCCTGGCACCTCAAAGGACAAGACAAGGTCACAGCTAAAGACACGTGGCTCCAACCTCAATTAACTAGATAAAGACTGTAATTGCAGGCTTCTCACTTCTGTGGTGAAGGCCTTCCTGGCAATAACATAGGTCTCCTAAATTAACATAATGTATTACTTAGAGTAGTCCTTACAGGGACTCCCAAAGCCCTGCCGTTCAAGACAGATTCCCGCCTTTCTTTAGTATTCTCTACTCTTGTTCTGATAACTAAATAAATACAGAAAAGTTTGGTCTTACCTCCCAGAGAATCTAGAATTCTATTAGAGGGTTTGGAGCCTCCCAGAGTCCTAAAATCAAAACACTTGACTCTTTTTTAAGACTTTGCCATCCACTCATTTGAGAGATTGTGGGCCTGATCATTCTGCAATAACTAGGGGATAATATTAACCCAGTAATCAACCATGATATTATCAACTGGTACTGGTTTTTCAAGCATGCAAAATTCAAGAGTTATGAGGTCACAGAGGCTTCCATTCAGATTTCAGAAGGCATTGAAGGTCAGGCCAAAATGTATGGTATGGTCACAGTCCCTCAGGAGCCCATGAGAAGACAGTGTGTGCAGCCAGCTATGAGTGATACCAAAGGTGCAGCAGAGACCCCAGGAAGTTGGAGATGCTAAGAATGTGGAACATCTACTTAAGAAAGCCACTGGCAGAGCCAGCCCAAGAGAGGCTATGTGAGCTGTGACGAGCAAGGCTATAGGGGCAGGCCTGCCCAAGCCCTTCAGAGCTCACATCACAATACTATCTGCCCAGGGTCCTGTACATGTTGGTACAGGATTTAATGTTTCTGCTGCTGATTTTCAGTCTTGCTTTGGTGTGGTTCCTATCTATTCCCTATTCTTCCCTTTTGGAATGGAAATGTTTGTCCTGTGCCACTATACATTGGAAGTGTTTAACTTTTTTATTTTTACAGGGCCTCACAACTAAGAGTTTGTCTTTAGTCTCAGAAGAGACTTTGGAATTGGATTTCTCAACAGTGCTGGAATTGTCAAGGTTCTGGTTAGAGATAGACCAAATGCATTTTGCATGATATGGACCTAAGCTTTGTGGGGTTAGGATGGAAAGTTATGGTAAGATCTAAAATATCTTCCAAAAGACTCATTCAGAGGTGGGGCCTCACTGGAAAGGGTGGATCACAGACTGTGTGTATTCTCATCCCCAGCTCCTTCCTGCTCTCTGCTTCTTGGCCAGCATGCAGTGAACAGCTTTCCTCCTTCCATGCTGTTCTGCTGTGGAGGACTGCCTTGTTGCCTTCCCCTGGGTCCAAGTATGATTGTGTTTACTTGTTAGCAGTACAGACTGTATAGACGGGACTTCCTAAAATTGGCTTTCAGTTTAATTAGTGACTCTGGCTGAAGCCACGGAAGTATCAAGAAAGCAGGTGGCTGGTGTCAGGACTAGCATTGTTCATCACCAACAGCCATGGTTGAGCTCAGACAGATGAATTCCATTAGATGGTTTTTGACCTTCCTGGAGCCCTAAAAAACATACCACTTATCTCTTTTATTTAAGCCGTTCACTGTCCATTTGTTTAGCAGATTAGGACTAGGACAAAAACCCTAATATGGGCCAACACTCAGTTGTGTCACATCCCTGCCAAAACATGGTAGTCTCAATTTTCAACATCTTAGTCATTCTAATAAGTGTTTAGTGGAAGGTTATTGTGTTTTCAATTTGCCTTTACCAAATGCGTAATGATGTTGGATATCTTTTCATGTGGTGGTTTGCTAAGTGTGTATACTTTAGAGAAGTGACTGTTCTCATCTTCTGCCCATTATAAAAAGTTCATTTGTTTTACTACAGATTTGAGAATTTCAGAATGTTGATATATTCCAGATACATAGCCTTTATCAGATGTGTGTTTTGTCACTGTTTTCTCCTAGTTTGTAGTTTGTCTCTTCATTTTCTCATTAATGTCTTCTGGAGAAATAATTCAGTTACATTATTTTCTAGAAGTTATATACTGTAGTTTCCACATTTAGGTCTATGACTCTTTCAAGTTAACTTTTTATATAGTTGTGTGTGTGTGTTTTTCTTTTTTTTGGCACACGACTCTCCAATTGTTCTAGCAACTCTGATGCAAAGACTATGTAAGCATTTCATTACTTACCTTGTCATCTCTACAGAAAAACAATCTGACTTGCTAAACTACTATAATCCTACCACTTTGGAAGGCTTTGGCAGAAGGATTGCACTTTTGAGCCCAGAATGGGCAATTTAGCAAGATCTTGTCCCCCCCCCCCAAAAAAAATAAATAAAATTTTAGCTGATGTCTTATTACTAACTTGTATGGCAGAAACCTTCTCCTGTGTTCTGGTAAGGGTGATAAATTCCTGTGTCCAAGCTTGCTTTGAAATTCAGTTTGCCTCATGGCCTTGCAACCTCAGCTCACTGATGTGTTCAAGACAAGTTATGATTTTGTAAGTTATCAGGCTTTTCTCATTATTAAGTGTGTTCATTGTAGCTTTCTACATTCTAAGCAAATTCCACCAATATTTATTGAATGTATATTACACTCAAGGCAGTTCTAGGTGTTGGTTACAGCCACGGAAGAGGAAACAGATCTGATCTCAAGAAGTTTATGTTCCACTGAAGGGACATAGATAGAATATTATAAATTATAGTATTTGGTAGCACTAGATTGTATGAAAAGCACTTTGCAGATGAGCGAATACACAACTATTATACAAGTGGTGCTGGCCTCCTGCATTCATCTAGACAGTATCGATACTTTTTGCCTCGGGGACCTCTGTGGTGAAGAGTGGATCAGACAATACTCTATCCCAATCTGATATAATGCAGTATGCTGTCAGCTCCAAATAACAAATAGGACCTTTGCTCACATTCCCATCAGCCAGGAAGGAACTGCTCCGAATCAGCGTGCCAGGTGTTAGGTAGAGCGCCACACTAGCAATCAAGGCTCACGATGTACACCGTACATATACACTCTGATTCAATATAAAATGCACTGTTGTGGAAGGCAGTACATTTCCCTTCCCAGAAAAAGATGCCCCGCGGGTTCAAGAGTCCACTTTTCCTGCAGGTTCCCGACTTCTCCGGAAGGGCGGGCAGGTCAAGCAAGCTTTCCAGATTCTAAAGTAGCGAGGTCCCGCCCAACGCCTTTCTACCGTGCCCGATGCTGCGTTCCTGCGAGCTCGCAGCTGCTTCCTATACACTCCTCCGTGCAGCCTGCAGCTCACGCTGTTAAGGAAATGGGGGCACCTGAGCAAGGGCACAGAGCTGGGGGAGGGCGCTGGCTGGGCCGCACGCCTGTGATCCTGCTCCCCTCCCCAGCACCCCGAATCCCGGCCTCGGGTTTGCAGTGTCCAAGAGGCTTGGGGGCACCCAGGCAACAGCTGCAATCCAGATCCTCGGTTCTGACAGAGATGTTCTCAAAGCCAGCTGCTCTTCTCCGCACTGAATGAGACACCCAGAAGACACTTAAAACGAATTTCCCCGCAGTATTCCAGTCAGGGTGCGGTCATTGCTGAAGGCGAGATTCCCAAAGGCGACAAGTGACAAACCGGGGGAGGGCTTCGTGCTGTCGGTCGGTGTGGGGGCTCCCCTCCTCTCAGGGCTCCTTCCAATTTGGAACGGCTGGTTCTGAGACAGCAGAGTAGCTTTCGCGAGGCCCTTGGGCGTGTAAGTAAGGCGAGGTGCGAGAGGAAACCACTGACTGCCTGTCTTAATTCATGCGAGAACACTGCGCACGCGCCTGCCACCCGGAGGGCGGGGCTTTAGTGGGGCGGGGACAGCGGGGAGAAGAGCGGGAGCTCCGCGGAAGGAGAACTACGCGTGCGTCCCGGATGTGGGCGGAGCTTGGGCGTGGCGGGGCTTGGGTGGGCGGGGCCCTCGGCCGTCACGAGCGACTCCGCCCCTTCGGGCTCAGTCGGCCTTCTCCAGAAGGCGACCGCTTCTCGGCGCTGTCCCTGGTTAGCTGGCCCTGGGGCACCTCGGTGACAATGGGGGACCCCAGCAAGCAGGACATACTGACCATCTTCAAACGCCTCCGCTCAGTGCCGACTAACAAGGTAACGGCACCGGCCCGTCGGAGCTGCCTCCCTCGCGGGACCCCGCGGGCGCGGTGGCCTCGGCCTGGGGGGAGGAGCCGGGCCGGCCCGGGTGTGACACGTCGCACTGTGGGGCCGCG